GCAGATTGCTACTAAGGGAATAAAATAAATGCCCTTGCCCATAGTGAATGTTCCTTATATTATCTGATCTAGACTGAATTCAATTAACTTAATTATAAATATATACCTACACTACCTCATAGTGTGACAGGTAATCCTCTTATGGTAGATAAGAGAATGCATTTTGAAATTTTTAATATTTTTAAATATGGCGAACGTTAAAGTCATTGACTTTGATGTATCAGGAATCTTTACTACAACGTAATTCTAATAATTTTCTAATTGGAAGAACGAAAATGATATTGAAATAATGTTATACTGTTTTTCTTCTTTTTTAGTACCGTCTCAGATATGCATATTATCTAAAACACCCAAGCGTGTGTAATGTGGTAATTTGTTAGCCAAATTTATTATGTACTAGATTGTAGGTACATTTTTCGGGCGACTTTTGTACTTAAATACGTCACAATCACACTAAATTTTCGTGTTGGGTTGTGTTTCGATTTTACTAAATCGTGTCAAACTCCACTTTGTCACGTGAAATTAAAGGTATATATAGAGTGATTCAGTCATAATGTCATCAACTTCAAGAAGAAATGAGTAGAATAAGAATATGTGATTAAAATGCGTATTTACACTGACAAAAATATTTTCAAATCATTATTTAGACCCCTTTTCGGACCGCTCCTGACCGCTGATCTACAAAGATTTATCAAAAGTGAATCTTGACCAACCGTATTTGGTCATTAACCTAGCTTTAATACAGTCTTTATTAGGTCCTTCGAATACGTGGTTAAAATTAATGTCATTATGACTGAACCACCCTGTATAAGGCTGCATATTACACACTTTACCTCTACAAAAACTTTTCTTAATTTCATAATAATGCAGTTACATAAAAAAATATATCAATCCATTCCCAGAATACCTAAATGAAAAATATACTCCATGATTGACTTGGTCGTTTTTTTTTAGGCTAGGTTTTGCTAATGCCTCTCGAATATAACCAAAGCCGATTTTATTATTCTACAAACCTCTGATGAACACATGCACACATCCACGATTGTCGCAGCGAGATTAAAATCAACAGCTGAATACCTGCATCAATCCAGTCTAATTTCTTTGACACCTCGACTACCGCAGTTCCTATTACTGCGTTAGGACACATTTTAGAATATAACTTTACCTAACGTAATCGTCCTGATGGTAAAGTCATGAGAATTTAACATTATATTAATAAATTATAAATTATATGGAAAATTAATAAATTATTATTATTACACTATCGTTTTTCCAGTAATATGGCTAAATTTATATAAAACTGACATAAAAACCCAAATTAAATTAGCGCTGTGTCCAATATGACAAAATAAGTATACCTAATTACATAGGTGTTATTGAATAGAGAGAATTTTTAAGATTTTCTTGCATATCGCATAATTTTTTTCCGGGCTCTGTAGTTTAATTTTTTTAATCATATGTCTAACATGACCATGTTTCAGTGAACACTAAAATCACACTGCACATTATTTACTCGAGTAAAACTGCCTTCTTACTGGTTAAATTTGATAACACCAAAAGACTTTCTAATTGGTGAAACACAACGTAATTGCAATACCAATGTAAAAGTTTTACCAAAAATGTGATTTTATTAACATAGGTACACTGGAAAAAATTCGGTGTGAGTGAAAGCAATAAAGGTTCGGAGTGAATCCACTGAGAAAAATTATTGAGTACATTTTCACTCAATGTACTTTCACTCAAATATATGTAGGTATTCCTTAAATAAATTCTTCACGTAAACCCGTATTTGGTGCACTTAAAGTACTTAAATGTCATCTTTACCGAGTGATCCTACCCTTTTTCATATCCATATGCATTGTCTTTATCTGTTCCCATCGTCCCATTAGGTAATTTCGTGAAATTTGAGTGAAATTTTTTTACAGTGTAGCACCTTTATCTGTGTTGCTTTCGATTGAAAAAAATGTATGGGTTAAAACTGTGTTGGTATTTAGAAAAACAATATATTGCTGCATTTCGATATAGGTACCTACCTATTTGTTAAACCTGTTTTCTATAATAGAATTTACCTACTGTACATTTTTAAATATTTGGTTAAAACAGTTTAAGCCTAATATAAGGTTTAGATGGATCTATCTCCAATAATAAAGAAGATATAGCCAAAAGAGTATGCTAACTTTTACACTCTTTTGGCCATATATTTCTTATTAATAGATATACACATATCAAATCTGTATATTATTAAGGAAGCTTTTTCCAAATATGTAAACATATACAGGATAACCTGTTAACAAAATTTTATGCGTTTTGCTTGTACCTACATATCTTCGAAATGCAACATTCAACTGTTTTTCCAGGTACAGGTAAAATGAAATTACAAGAAAATTTCCTACAAGTCTGTTCCATACAATTTTTTTTCTAAATTTGAACGCTTTGATTTAATATTAATATTATAAACACTATTGTTTTCATATCCAATAAATTTTCCTTTGCTTGAATTTATGCTTTGATTGAACATTGATTTAAGGGCGCCATATTTTTTAAATAGTGTTTTTCACAAAGACAAATAATTTCAAACATTAAATAACTGAATAATCTAAAACTTATCAAATAATAGGAATGTTATGTCATGCCACCTGAATATTTTCAAAGACGACGCAGTAAAATGAATAAACGGGTGCAAAAAACGATCAAAACATCAAGCTTTTAGGTACTAAAATCTACGAAAATACTAACTTTTATATAACTCCACATGTAAATATTCTTATAATTTACTTGCTTAGTGCTACATATAAAATGATTTACTTTTATTTATAAGTAGGTGAAAATAATTCTTAAAATGTGGGGTTAGTATAACAGCAAACGCATGTTTTACAAACGCTTTTTCTTAGTTATTATTTTATTTGAGTAAATTTAAATGGTAACAATGAATAAACAAAACATCAAGGATTTTATTTTTGTGCTTACTTTTGTTCTACACGTTTTACTTTTCAAGATTTCAGTACCTAAAAACGCCAGAAATTTGACTATTTCTCGGACAGGGATATCCGGCCACCTTAAGGTGGCCATATCCCTGGCCGAAAAATAGTGAAATTTCTGGCGTTTTTAGGTACTGAAATCTTTAAAAGTAAAACGTGTAGAACAAAAGTAAGCACAAAAATAAAATCCTTGATGATTTGTTAATTCATTGTTACCATTTAAATTTACTCAAATAAAATAATAACTAAAAAAAAGCGTTTGTAAAACATGCCTTTGCTGTTATTCTAACCCCACATTTTAAGAATTATTTTCACGTACTTATAAATAAATGTAAACAATTTTATATGTAGGACTAAGGAAGTAAATGTTATAAGAATATTTACATGTGGAATTATATATAAAAAAGTTAGTATTTTCGTAGATTTCAGTACCTAAAACCTTGATGGTTTGATCGTTTTTTGCACTTGTTTATTCGTTTTACTGCGGCGTCTTTGAAAATACTCAGGTGGCATGACATAACATTCCTATTATTTGATAAGCTTTAGATTATTCAGTTATTAAATGTTTGAAATTATTTGTCTTTGCGGAAAACACTATTTAAAGAATATGGGGCCCTTAAGCAAATACCTATCGATAGGATAGTATATATGAATAGTATCATAGGAAATAAAATATTAGGTATAATAGCAGTTTTCTTTTTTTTTAATTTCAGTTGGATATTGGGTTTGTGGAATCGACGCATTTCAGTTTGTTTAAAATATAAGGAAGTGTACCAATATTGGTAACAATAACGTAGATGCAAAAAGATTGAGCCAGTTAAGATGAAGGAAAGATTTCGATAAGTTTATTTTGAATCATGTTTTTATTTTTCATGGTTGACTGACTCCTAAACACTAGTTCGTGAGGCCTACCAAGGTATTATATAGTTTGTTGCATTTTTTAAATGTTATTTTCCGTTTATTTTCTTAAAAATGCACATGGTAGTGTTATATCACCCATGTAATGATAAAGTCTCATGATAACAAATAAAATTGAGTACCTACCTACATGATACCTACTCTAACGGTTATTGTTAATCACAATAAATATTGCGTTTTTTAGATTTCAAATACCTACCCATATGAAGGAGCTATGACTTTAATAAAACAAAATTAAGACGAACCCATTTGACAGAACAGCCACGCCGAAATTGCCGCATTATCCTCGCAGCCTACTATATACAAGAGCCTTAACAAGGAGCATTCATGCCTCACACACAATGCCACCGAAAAATATCATCAAATAATTACCTCCTCGCCGGATAAAATCATACCCATTAACAATTCAATGCGGTCCGCGACGTCAGAGAAATGTCAATTAATACCGGGATTGATATAACCATTATCCGGAACCGCTTATTAATCCATACCATACCACTCGGGCATTATGTATCGAATTACTGGGTTTACATTCGGTCGCCCCGCCTCGCGCCTCAAAAACTAACAGGCTTATGTCTCAATCTCGTTATCTGTTCCCCCACCGCCGGGCGCGGGCCAATTGGAGAGCAATCCGAGCTTCCCCGCCCACCTACCATTGGCAGGTTTCACGTCTTGAGTGAGATGTTGGCGGGACGTGTGCATGCATAAAAAATAACGGGTTGGAAAGAGAAAGAGACATAAGAAGCTGGAAATCGATATAATGTTTCGTTATTGTTTTAATTAATTTGCATTTGATCAAATATTGTTTCAATGGAACAGAATTATTTCTGTATATACAATTCTTGGTTACATCGGTGATTGTACATGTAGAGGAGAATAGATCGACTTGGTCTGTTTGAGTTAACAAAGCAATCTGAGGGGTAAGGAACAGAACGGAGTACGAAACGAGCAGCTAAGCGTGAGCGAGAGAGAGACAGACGCCTTGCCGACTCGTTGTGACAAAGACGAGGCGCATGCACTCGTAGGCGTGGCCAGAGACATACCTCTCCGTAATAAAGATAACTATTTTGAAATCTCACTCAGTTTGACAGCGTAGTTTCACAAGTAAGCACTTGATTCGAGGGTGCTGCGGGCTAGCTAAGTGTGTTGTTTGAGTGTCAATTCGCATGAGCTTAAACCTCGCGATGGCCTTCGAAGACCGGTCCAGTCCCAATGCAGCCTCCAGCCCTAGTCCCACTTGTAGGGGTATTTCCCCGAACTCCCCGGAATCCACGCGGACGTCGCCGTACACTTGCACCACCATCAGCCACGAAGAGGGCTCCAGGGGGTCGCCTCACTATAGCATACCCAAGGGGGAGCAGCACCAGGAGCGCTCCTTCTTCAGGATCACTTCATTCGCCCTGCCTAGCCCCAAAAGTGAGTGCGACAGGCAAAGCCCGATTAGCTACCGCTCGCCCTCGCCTGCGGAAAGCGTTTCGTCTTCGCGATCCTCAGTGCAGAACGAACCGATTATCCAAACACTGAAATACTCCATCACGAATATCCTGAAACCGGAATTCGGCAAGTCAGCTGTGCTAAAAACAAAGTCAGTGCCCAAAATCGGATTCAAACCGTATGAAAAACAAAACGAAGAGCCTAAAGAGAGCAAACCCTTCTCCGTTGCACCTCTGGGGAGTCTTTGCCAGGCGGTTTCTCAGATGGGCAGCGCCTTGACGAGAACGCCGGAGCCTATTCCTAAGGCTAAAAGTCCAGCGAAAGGACTGGCCAATTCTGAGGACGTCAAGAAGGATGGAGAGGGCAACGTACCTCAACTTTGGCCAGCGTGGGTTTATTGCACTCGCTATTCCGACCGACCCAGTTCAGGTATGAAAACTAGTATTTTGATAATAATTCATAGAAATATGGTTATATTCCATTCACGATAGTTTCGCTTCTAAATTATTCTTTATTTAAAACTGGTGTCATCCCACTTTATTTTTACTTTTCCTCAAATACCTATACAACTTTAATTAATTTTGCTACATTATAAATTGTGTTGAGAGCTCTTGGTTATACGAATTTAAACAAAATATTGTTTTTAAAAATGCAACAAGAAGATATTATTTACATACCTACGTATTGAAATTATGTAAAAACCAATATGCATGCCAAAACAGAGTAGGTAGGTAGGTACATTAAAACATTTTTTCTTTTTTTTGGTTCGCAATATTTAGATTCTCCATAGGTATGATTTATAATAAAAAAAATTTAATGCCTTTCCAGGGTGTTTCAAAATAACGTATACCTAATATAAATTCTAGGGATAATGGTACATAAAAAGAAAATATTTTTTCCTATAAACTTCCTAGGTACTTATATCTAATAGGTCTACTATAGGTAGGTACTTTTGACTTCGAGATATCCTTTTTTGTGTAATACACACCCTGTGTAACATTCAAACAAGACTATTTCGGATCTCAAAACATATGCATACAAATTTTAATACATTTCTATCTATTACTTTCGAAGATATTGCCAAAAATCATTTAAAAAAAATAATTTCAACGCCCCGTGGGGGGGGGGGACAAACACACACTCATTTTTTATGTTCAATGACACCTAAAATTTATGGTAGGGTTATTCTGACCCTTGATGCAGAGTCCAAGCTGGAATATCGATTATTTTAAAAGATACAAGGTGGATAAAAAATTTTACCTATTTTTGAACCGACTGAAAATTTAGATTTCCGTTTTTATTATTTTTTTTTAATCGAGAATGGAAAGGGGCTGAATTTTTAAAGTCGTTTTTTTTGTGAGGAATTCGTATACCTATGGTGGCGCCTAATAGGATGGAGAAACTTTTATTTTTCTTATAGATGCCATATTGGATTAGTGCTTTTTTGAGTTGAGCAAAATTTTCTGAAAAATGTGTCATATGATATTCTTTACTTCTTATTTTCGTCGAAATACCGAATTATCGATTTTTATGAAGAGCATGCTTTGAAAACAAAACATGCAAGTCCGTCAAACGAAATTTTGATAATTCAGTTAAATGTGATTTAACTGACAATGTCAGAATTCAGATAATTACCTAAACATGAAATATTCACGCATGCAACAAAGCCAACTATTCTTCAAATCCATTAGCTAATCAATAAGTTTCAAACATATCCCGTTCTTCTTGTGAAAATGTAATTGAACTATATCGATGTTTTTTTTCGAAATTGGTACCTACCTACTAAATAGATGGATATTTTCAAAACACTCTTCGGAAGAATGATAATTCGGTATTTAGGCCAAAAAAATAATAATGTCACGGCTAATATGATTACGTATTTAAATCCCCCATAAAAAATGTTCTAACAACGTTCCAGTTTAAAAAATTCATCTTTTTCAATTTTCGATTAAAGAAACCATATCGAAAATAAAAATTTCAAGCTTTTCGTGCACATTTCAAACTCAAAACGAAAAAAGAAGTCAAATCTCCCTTCGGCAAGTTATTTGTCATTAAATTCCAAGATTTTGTTCTGTATTAGCTTTGTATCTGCTAAGAAACCGAAAATGTAATAATTATATGTACCTCCTACATCCTTTGCAAAATATAAAAATTTCTGGACATCAACGCATAGGTAGGTATTTTACAATGAATAAGTAATAAGGAAAACTAAATATAGGTATGACTATATTTATCAATTTTAAATTAAAAGACATTAGTTAACTAGGTATTTTTAATTATTTATATTTATAAACTTATTTCGTTGTATTAGTTGATATCTAAAGTCATCATTTTATATCTACTGATAGGTACCTAATTAAAATCGACTCGGTGCTACGTATAGAATCTTATTTATAGATCATTGGTATAAATAAAGCATCTCTTTTTGGTACCGTTGCACTATTTGGGAGTAAAAATTAGATTATCTATCAAAACATGAGTGTAGTGTAGTCCTTAAACCTTTTTCCGTTTAGTTTAAACAAATATAAATCGTGGTCAGCATACGGTTTTTACAATTTTCACTGCACAAAATCCAAACCGAGAAAAAGAACAACCAAAACTAAACCACAAAGCTCCTACAGCAATCATAGTTCTGAGTTCGGCCGCTAGATGGCGCGACCTCCACCATCGACGCGGAATACCCGTGAGAGACCACACAGGTAGAGCATTCGATAACTGCTTTAACGATTTGGTGAAACGATTTGATTTATATCGCGTCGAACAATCACCTAAGACAGGGTCGGACCATTGAAGATTCGTTGTATGAGGCGAATAGTAAGATTTATATCTCTGGGTAAAAGCGATCCGATCATTGTACCTAAGTCTTTTATTTGTAGTTGTAATACCATCAGATAACTTTGGTAACTGACCCGAGTACTGCTAAAAAATGTGCCTTCATCCACTGCACTTGTGATTTATAGTCTATTTGCAGGAAGTATTTAGCCTTACTTGAGTAACACATCAGGAATGTAAGATAGAACTCGTCATAGATAGCCTAGCGAATCCCAGATTTAATGCATCATGTAATTCATATCATCCCAAAATCTCTTTCTTTGATACTATTTTTTTAAAACATTTTTTAAATATCTGTTGCGCCTAATGGGTGACTTTCCTAATCAAGATTCCGTCTGCCCAGATAATAGCTCCTAAACATCTCTAATCGCGGTACATTTATCAAGAACCCCGTGGTCAAAACAACAGAAGGCCACGCAGTCCGTCACAGCCTCCTGTTATCAGATCTCGCCAGAAAACAGAAGCTCCCTGCTAATTGCGACAGTCCTAAACAATAGAAAAGAGCGGTGATAGATTCGTGTCATTAACGTTAAAAATAACGCCATTGTCGATACGATGACGCGTTTGTGTTTCGGGCTAGATGCCTAGATAAAGCGTTAAGTGATTGATTTGCTTGAAACAAAAGGGACGCGCTAAGAGGTATCGGTAAGTGCTATCAAGGAAATCAGGAGAATTTCGAATATAATTTGTATCAAGATCATTAAAAATTTAGATTTTTTACATACTTCCAATCATTTTTATAAATACATTGATTTGAATAGAGTTATGCGCATTGTGTAGAATTGCGCACTTAAGTGTTATTTGCACCAACCTGTTTTGGCTCGACCAAGCAAATTAATCACGTGTTACCGGGCAGGGTTGCCAGATGCAGCGATTTATCGCGAATTCCCTTGTTTTTTTTTGTTCAGTTGCAATAATTCTTTTTCAATGCGCAATGGGTTGTTATATTTTGGTTATTAATTTTATAAGATGCGATTTTTCTATGCAGCATACTGATTTAACTGTCTAAATATAGTGAGTAAGTAAATAATATGGCTTAATATAAATTATGTAGTGTTCTTATACCGTTTGGGTTGAAGACATCGAGGAAGAGGAGCAATTGTTTACACGGGCGAATAGATCGGGCGCATCGGGTTCGCACGTGAGACAAGGCCGCCTAGGACCGTTATAGGTGATTTATCGCTCTCGATTCGAACGAAAGATTAATGGTTATGGATTATGAGTGCGTCGTCGCTCACTTAGATTTAGTAAGTGTATCCGGGCGAAAATCTTTCAGGACCGGCATGTTCGCCGCATCAACGCTCCTCTAAGTGCCTTTTAAACGGTCTATTTTTGGGGTGCCCAAGGTAAACGTTTCGTCAAAGGTCGTAATCGGTTTTTAATCTGTGACATGGGCTCGGGTCGCGCGGTGCTGTGTATGTAAACATGAAAAGAATTATTGCGCTAGCTGAATTCCAGGAATAAATGAAACAAAACTGTTTAAAAATGTAAGGAAGTCCTGGCAGTGTTTACGGGACAACGTGAACGCCCTGTATGTAGAACTTCGCCGCCCAGGTGAACATTAATTACCTTCCCTTTTACCCATTTTTGTGAGGGGGAGTCGAAATTAATGATGCCGAGGGTTAATTAATTGTTATTAATGGTAGTGAGCGAGTACCTAAATGAAATGGCAAAAAGCTGTAAGCAAATTATTTAATATCACCGAATTAAGGATTAATTTAGCACACGCGAAACGCGGCACGTATTACACGGGTAATTTAATTATCTTCTTGATTATTATTATGTTCTGATGCCTACTTGCTTGACTGTAATTTGTCATGGCATTTAATTCTCTTCATAGCTATACCTACTCATATACATGGTGATTCAGTCATAATGTCACTAATTTTAACCACGTATCCGGAAGGCCCAATTAGGACAGAACATCGAAAAAAAATTTTTTTTCTCGACCTAAAAAATAAGCAAATTTAACAATATTAAAAAATAGTAAATTATATAACCTAACATTCGAAAACTGTTATCCTTGTTTTTATTAACAAATAAATAATACTTGTTGATATTTAAAATGTAAAAAATACGTTATTCATTGATTAAAATTAATTAAAATGTAATTAACGTACCCAAAGATTCATGTCATCCAAATAATCATACCTACGTATTAAAAATAATTTAGGTACTTACCAAAAAGCAAAATTCAGTAATTTTTAAACGCACAAGTGCAAAACAAACTACAACATATGCTCAAAATGTTCACCACCATTTTCGATGCACGCACGACCAATCCAATATTTGCGCACTCGCTGGAAAACACTTCAAGAAAAGGAAATAGTGGTACGCAAAAAACACTGACACGGTGCAATTCCAGATACCAACACCAACTGAATTGCGTATTGCTGGACAGCTTAGTACCTCGTGTTATTCGCAGCGGCGTTGTCACATTGCTCGATATAAATTTTATCGAATTTAAATTTGTTACAACGCTAATTATTTTTTAGAATTAAGCATAAAGAAGTTCAAAAAAGTAATAAACATTGTATTTTTTGGTATTCTATGCACGCAGTTATGTCAGTATTCCTTAATTAATCGAACTTTTGTACATCAAGTTGAATATTTTGATAATTTTTTTCTCAAAAATGGTTGAGTTAGGACCCATGTCGTATAAGGTTTTATTTGTTTATTTTAATGTATTCTATCGTCTGTTAAAATTAAGGCAGTCAAACTTCTAACACCCTGTGTACACATGAGTCCACAAATCGACAGTTTTGGAGACTCGGGATTTTGATATTAAAAAAAATACGTATTTTAAAAATCTCTTTGATATATATTGACGAAACTTTGGCTAATAAATTTACCCAATTAAAGGTAAAAATTGACTGAATCCGAATATAAATACTTGAACCAGTGGCGGGTAGACATCGGGAGTTACTTTTATCAGAAAACTCAGAAATTCGAATATTTTGAACATTTTTAATATTACTAGACGTTCATTAATAATTTCACAAAAAAGCAATTTATATGATCTTTTTTTTTCCATTTTAAATTCAATGTAATCATGAAAAGTCAGAAAATAATTGGCGCAATTTTTTTTCCGAACGTTAGGAACTCCTTGCTAACAAAATTCAAAATTTCTTACCTTTCTTTGGCTTGTTATGGTTTAGTTTTAGTTTAGTTTTTATTTTTTATTTAAAAGTAAATTTTTAGTATAAAAATCCAGTGATCTTTTTTTGAGAAACGAGTACTTTTAGAATTATTTTACATTTTGTGAAGCAATGAAAATTAAAAAAGTAATAATTCGAAAACTGGATTTTTATGTTCAATTCTATTCATTAACCTAAGTTTCATCAATCTGCATCAAACGTCTTCAGAGGTATTTTAGACAACATTGTGTAGTATAACAACCCTAGGTTCGACAAAAAATAAGTAAACGTAGTTGTGGCAAAAATATGTGATCGTCATAAGGACTACCTACGTTGTGTGTATCTATTTTTTTAATTGACCGGAAGGCGCTGGCTACTAACTTTGTAGAGGGGATGTATGGTTTAATTATTTAAAACAAAAGCAGAGTAAATACACCTAACCTTTATTTACATACAATTCAAATTAAACATGTGACAAATAGAAACAACAACAAAAACATTAACAACCATTAAACATAAAAGGAGAGTGCCAGGCTCACCTAGAGCTCCTGCGGGGAAAGAGCATGGCAGAGAAACCCACGATCGTTGCTCTTACTACCCAAATATAAATACAAAAACAACCACTAACCAAAGGAATAAATTAAGATCCTTTGCTAATGATAATTAAAACTGGACTTATTTAATTTCTCACTAAATGTCATCTCACTCAAGTCCGACATACACACTTCCAAGTAAAACTGAAGAGGTTTTAGTAACAATAATAGCAACAACAACAACAATAATAATAATAACAACAATAATAATAGGGAAGGTACTGGAATCCCATAATACGGGAGGCTATCCAGCTAAAGTTGAGATTTCGGAAGAACAACAACAATAATAATAATAATAATCATGGGTGAAAATGTTAGTAAATTCAACAAAGCTCTTACATACGTATGACATAAAGTGAGCACAAGAAATCAAAGAACAACGTAATCAAGATAAAACAAGTTAAATGTGAAAAAAAGAAATTATTTTGCAATATCTGGGCAGACACGACAAAATATACATATTTTAACATGAAATAAATAATGAGCAATCTTTAATAATAATTGTAACAATTTTATCATAGAGAAAAATACGCCCCTGAGCGCAAGACAATGAAGGCCAAACATACACAGAATTATTATTATGAAACATCTATGTTTTTCGTATAACGTATTCATGACAAAAACAAGTTAGATGTGAAACAAAGGAGTCGTTGTTGTAATGTCTGGCAGTTACGACAAGATATATATATTTTAACATGAAATAAATAATGAGCAATCTTTAAGAATAATTATAACAATTTTACCTTAGAAAAATATATGCCCTTGAGCATAAAACAATGGAAGCTAAACATACAAAGAATTATTATCGTGAAACATCTATAACCATCACAATCATAAGATTACATAGAACAATTAACAACAAAGTACTTAAAGAATATTACCTGCTAACTAATAACACTTTAAACAATTAACTTTTCACTACATTGACACACTGCCCGCCGATCGTCTTCCTACCGATCTCCACACTGTTCGCACTTCAACTCCCCATTTTCGACTATTTAGGCTTCCTTCCAGAATTGCCTACCTAAACGCTTGATTTTTGTGCTTCCTTCTACCGACCGTTAATATTACTTTTTCATTATTGTGCAACACTCATGTAACAGGTGACGTCGAAGTTGATAAGATAAGTACGGTTTTGCACAATTGGTTCTTTATTGTATTAAAATTTTAATTTTTCCTGGGCCTTTTAAATAATGTAGGGGGTACATCCATCAATACCAATTGCTTTTGCGGTTACCTTGCAAAGTTATAATTAATTTAAAAATAAAGGTATAGCATACATCGTGAATGGATTGAACACATCTTTGTATTCTCTTGATGACAGCCAACTCAGTTTCCCATTTTTTGCAGGACCTAGATCTAGGCGGATGAAGAAGAAGAACAGCCCCGAAGACAAGCGTCCGAGAACTGCTTTCTCCAGCGCACAACTCCAGAGACTAAAGAACGAGTTCAACGAGAACCGGTACCTCACCGAAAGAAGAAGGCAGCAGCTCAGTGTGGAGCTCGGCCTCAACGAGGCCCAGATCAAGATCTGGTTCCAGAACAAGAGGGCCAAGATCAAGAAGTCGTCGGGGCAGAAGAATCCCCTGGCGCTACAGCTGATGGCTCAAGGGTTGTATAACCATTCTACCGTCCCCTGCGACGAGGACGACATGCCTATGTCATCGTAAATTGTTAAGGTTTGAGGTTAGAATCGTTGAGAGAGGTATATAGTAGACTTCATAAGCTCTGGTCATAAATTACTGTTGGAAGAAGAAAAATAATACCATTTAGGTAGCACATAAAAAATCCAGTCCAGGAACGCCTTTCTAAATTTTTAACTTATTGAAACGCCTAGATAAATTGTCATTTTCTCGTGACATGTTTGTAATATAATCTTCTGTATCGATTAATGATGATTTGTTTTTTTATTATTAAACAAGCTGTTTTATTGACAAATTACGTAACTATAATAAGCTAAATCGTTTATTTATTGGCAATTTGATACATAATTCATACATCTATTTGAATGGAGATGGCTAAACTGTCTTTAATATTCATTTCCTTATGGTAATATGCACATACATTTATTGGAACAGAAGATGATGACTAATGTAGGTTGGTATAGCCATCATAAAATCAGTATTTTGCAAATAAAATGTATGTTAAATTTTTTCGTGGCCAAAATTCCAAATTCAGACAGTTTAAGTCTCTAGGACCCTAGACTTTTAATCAAAGTCAATATGAAATAAGCAAATTCGCCCAATACGTCATTAAGATTTGATTTTGAAATTTCAAAATATTAATTGCTTGTATGTCCAAAGAAACTATAATGCTTGATATAGGAAATATCTTCTTTAAATGAGATGTAGGTGAATAAAACATGATTTCATTTACCTGGAGCTTATTGATCAATCTTTTGAAGCATATTTGTTATTATGGTATTATTTATTTATTAATAGAATGTCCTGCGGCAATTTTTATTAGAAGAAAATTATTTATAGTTTTTTCTAACCATACCAGCGCGCCGTATTAAAAGTTACCTAAGTAATTAATATAAATGGTATTAGTTGATCATAAAACAACTCGTTTAGTGCTTAATTATCTTGTACTAAACGTAAATAAATAATTAAATTATAGATAATTATATACCAGTACTGTCCTTTAAGTCGACGATTAAAATTATTAAATAAATCACAGCTTACAGCATATACTATCAAGCCGGTCTATATACCTTTCTCTGTCTCTTTCTGTCCGCTTCAGACTAAATGTAAGCTTTATACTGTACATAGTTATAGTCGATCTCAGTGTATTTATTTGATTTTCTGTACAAATTAAAGTCTAGTTGGTGTAAATATTGTAAAGTGTAGAATAACATTTATGGGCATATCGTTATACGTATATAGAATAATGTATTGATAATGTAGATATTTTAACCTGTTTGTACAGTGCGTCCCAAACATATTGGCCATCTATATCGATTGTTTATTAGTGGTAAACTTTATTGAAGGAGCACCTTTAGGTAAATCCCAGTAAACAAAAAAAAAACCTTGACGGCTTTTTAAATATTTATCGACTGTAGATATTCATTTAATAAATCGGGTGGTCCAATGAATGGGAGAGCCAAAACTTGGGAAGGTTAATGAAGGGAGGAAAGATATCCCGAATATAGAAAATTCTGTTTTTTGGACCACCCAGTAGGTATGTTGGACGGTAGTGTCCAAACGATTGTTACATTTATCATATTATGCTGTTCATGCTGTTTATATATGAAGCCTTGAATATAGACTGATCCAGATTAACTTTAGTCCATGTGCAATGTTATGTGTGTATATATAGTGTTTAAATTTAAGAAATATAGAGACCGTTCTTCCCATCAACTGCGTTTTATTTTTATTGCGAAACTATTAGAATCATACTTCGGATTCTTCGGAGACACCTACAGATCGAATTGGAATCTGTCAAAAAATATTTGCAGGGTGTTAAATTATTCTTCTGAATTATATAATAAAAAATATAATAATTTTTTAGACTTCAGGTAAGTATACAAGATGGTTTGTGTTATCTTCACTAAGTCGCAGAACAAGGGATTTTAAGGAAAAATTTCCATAGGAGTAGGAGAAGAATGCTTCATTTTTTAGAAATAGAGTGATGAAATCGAAAAAAGCTAGATGTTTAATGTTGACCAAAGAACTTTTGAACCATCAATTTAATTAATTAGAAGACAAATTTGCCAAGTTGACTTACAAATAAGTACATCAGTCAGTGGCTAACGGGCTAATAGGTACTACAAGGAATTTGAAAATTTTGGCACCACTTAATGGTTTGAAAATTCAATCCATAATTTTAATTTGCAGAGATGTTGCTATGGAAAAATATCTATTTTATTTTATGTGAAAAATCAACCGTTTTAGAGTTAGGATTTATTTTATTTCATAATAAACTTACCACGACCACATAGTTGAATAAATTGAAAATATTTAAAAAATCTTTGGCGTAGAAATTTTGTTTTGTTTTCAGAAGGTATGTTCCTAGAAATTCTAAAATTCATGTCCTTTTTTTATTTTTAGCACTACGTTGTTACTGAAAATCGTACTTCTACAAAAAGTTACCATTGATTTTTCTTGTACAAAACAGTTTTAGTTATTTTAGATTTATGCAACTATAATAAGTTGGTTTTAAAACAGAAACAAAATTATTTTTTAGTAAATTGCAAGCGATATTTATTCTTAGAAATACCACTAAGAATTAAAAGCACTAATCGAGTTTTCGTAATACTCAGTGGCGAAAATCTGAAGTTCCTAGCAGTATTGACGTATCTCTGTTGCTGGTTGACATATTTGTAAGCCAACTCAATCAATTTTTACTTATAATTAGAAAAAAAGTTCATTCACCCTCGCCAAACATCCTCAGACATATTAAAAAAACATGTGATGTGTGTTCAACACCCCAAAAACGAAACTTTTTTCTTTCAACTGATGAAGTTTCTCAATTCTTAGACCACTCTATACAGTTTTTCGACTTTCTCACCATCAATAACTTCAGTTACATTCTATTACATATGATTTGTAGGAATTTCAATTTCTTGAGAAAATACAGTCTGTTTAAGTGTTAATGACGATTTCTGAAACGTGCAATATTCTGGGACAATGATGCAGCATAACATTTTGCGTTAAACTGAGGAAAACTTTCACGGAAACGTTTCAACTTTTGAAATGTCAGCAACAAACATATCCTTTTGAAAATATAAGTATTCAATATTAACCTCCATCAAGCGCATCGCTGTAAAATGTTAATTGCGTCCTCAAAATTTTTTTTAAATAAAAAAATTATCTCGGCTCCAGAAGGTCGTAGAAAACATTTTTTTTTTAAATTTGTGAAAAAATATCAGCAGTTTCTTTTTTTAAAAGTCATTTTCATAAAATAAAAATTGAAATAGTTATTTGAAAAAAACATACCCAAAAAAACACCCAAAAAAAGTGCAACTTTTTCAGTCATTTTTTTATCTTTAAATTAATAAAATCGTAAACATTTTTTAACAGCATGATAATATAACTCTTTACGAAGAAAATAAACCGAAAAATCGTTACTGTAGGGATATCCGCTGAGAAGATCTAACCAATTTTCCAGAGCGCCTTTTTTTCAAAAAATCGCTATAATAACGAGCGTTCAAATAAAAACGTGGTCGAAGTTGGCTCTGACACATTGGACGTAGGGAGCTTATAGCGACCAACTTAACCTCATTTCTCAATGAGCTGTATAGCAGCTGTCAGTTTCAATAACGTTAATGACTATATAACTTTATTTTAAAGAATAATCGTGATAACAATAACAAACAATTAAAGGAGCTGCGGAAAGTGTCCCCCTCCTTGTTCCAAGCACTTTTCACACCTGTTCCTCAAAGAATTAAAGACATTTTCTAAGATGCGTCCATTTCTAAAGTAGGACTCTATGATAAACACTTTTTGTTCTTGAGAAAACACCATTTTAAACGCTTTTTAAAACGAAAATATTCAAATTGATAGCGGAGATATAGCGCTTTGACAGATGACGTTTAAGTGCATTTGCTATACGCTACGCCTTACGTCCAAATTTTCAGAACCAACTTGACCACGTTTTTATTTAAACGCTCGTTATCTCGAATATTTAATATTTTCAAATTTTTCAAAAATGTACTTTTTTGGCTTGCCGCGGGCTATGCTTGCAGAAAATAGCAAGTATGGAAACGTAAATGTAAACGAGTTATAGAAGAAGACAAAAAAGATTTTTAACGGTTTTTTCGATATATCTCGAAAAGTAACAAAGCAATCGATACTTACAAAAAATCAGTCGATAGGTCTTTTTAAAACCTACAACTTTCTCATTTAAAATTTTCCAATCGATGCTATCTTTTTTTAGTTATTTTAGAAAAACCATTTTTGCAACTTTTTTTAACCATGTTCGCCATTTTGGATCGAGTTTAAAGAACAAGAAACTCAATTTAAAATTTAATTTTCTATAGGGTCATATTCTTTTTGTTTAAGTAATAATTTCTGTAAGCATTTCTCTATAATGCTTGGACTATACGTTAATAAAATGGTAAGTAAATCTATTTTATGTTTTAAAATAATTATTTTACAAAATATACCTACGTAATAAAAACTCTGATAAATAGATTTAAAATATTTTTTAAAATTATTTTCAGTTTTTAATAAAAATTATTTGTTCCTATCTTTTGAAGCACTGTGTTTAGTTTATGAATCTCTGACACTTCTAGTTTAGGTGAACATAATATCAATGCCTGTCATCATATAACCTCAGGGTGCTAGGTGGGAAAAAACAGACGGCCAGCGTTAATTCAACGAAACGAGAATGGCCGAATATGTCATCGCCTCATTTTTTTACATTATTTTAGTGTCCAATTTACTACCTTCATTGTTAAATTTGGAGGTGACATGTCAAAAAACATTAAAATTTACCATGCATGCCATAACTAACAGTTATATCAATATTTTCTCTCTTAAATTCTATCCGATTGGTTTAGTTCTCTTGACTGTCGCCGTGCATTGAAATAGTCAACATTATCATCTCCCGTGCGTCCTGCTTCGCATAAACTGCAATTCCGAACGCAATACCCGACCGCGCCGCGAAACGGGGAGTTCTAAAAGACGACTATCGCCTCAATTAACTGCCAGCGTACATCGAAAGTGCATAAAATAAATTAGGCTCTTTGGGACGCGGGTTGCATGGTATATGCACGTTAACTGGGTGCAACAGGCTCAGCTCGGTCCCTCGCAGTCGACGACGCCGCCGGTAATTAAAAAATAATTGCGAGTTGACATGCAGACTGGAAAATA